CATCCCTCTCCCTCTCCCTCTCCCTCTCCCTCTGGGCAGGACCTTGCCCAGTGAACGGAATGATCTTTTCTGAAAGCTCCCAGGGCCCTGTTGCTGGCTCCCCCACCCTCCTTAATGTGGCCCTAGAGGCCCCTCGGGGTCTGTTCCAGCAGCTTCTGCAGCCTCGCCCTCACACCTCCAGACAACCCTGCTCCCTGGGGCCACAGAGCCTTTGCAGGAGCCACCCAGCCTGCCCATCCTGCTCTCCTGCTTCACGGCACACATCCCCATCCTATCACCAGACTCTCTCCCAGGGACCTGGTCTGACCTGGCTCTCTCCAACAAACTTCCATGTCTGTGTGACCAATGACGGTGGCCCATCTCTCCACCAGTGTGCAGTTCCATGACAGAGCTGCCACGTCTGGCTGAATCCCTACTGTATCCTGGTACCCAGTAGGCCCTTGGTCAACATCCGTTGAACAAATTAACGAGCGAGTGAAGTGAATGTTGTCTCTTGAACCAGTTTTTCCAAATCCCGTGATCTATGACAAAGAAAGGAAACACCTGCTGCCCCTCCCCTCCCACAGCTGTGTGCCAAGCACACGCCCTGGGCTTCCTGCGACTCTGCTGTGGTCCTTGATGCCTGGGGCAGTCTCACACCTGGCAGGAGGGCCAGGGTCCCCCAGCCCCCAGGCTCCCAGAGATGCCAGCCCCTGACAGCCAGTTCTTTCTGGGTAGTCCCAAGCGGGCACAAATGCAGTCCATGAAGTTTGATGAGGAAGACAGCCCCTTGGCTGGGGTTCTGCAGGAAGTTCTTATTGGGAGGGACCCGCACAGAGGTCTCTGCTTGTGTCTGAAGAGTCTCACGGAGCATAAACTCTGCCTGGCTTTCACACTTTCCCTAAAGCATCTTGACATCATTTGAAATCATCCTCATAAAGAACATTTATGGAAGAAAATCAGAGGGCGAGCTAGGTGGGGCCTGGCCACTCTCATCACCCACGAGCACCACACCTGCTCTGGGGTCCCAGGTGACGAGAGGGACACCCTCCCAGTGGGGTTTGCTGGGAGAGGAGGGAGGCAGGACAGCAAGAGTTCCTTCCTGACACCCTTCTGTGATGTTGAAGATTTACAGCAAGCCTCTATCACTTTTACAATCCCTTTTAAAATGCCCACACCTTTGTGTTTTTTCCTTTTGGAAATAAGTGTCGTTATGAAAGCACATGAGGTGTTTACAGGGAGAGCTGGGAAACACAAGCTGCTGAGAGGTGGAAGGACCTGCCCTCAGCCCCAGGGCCCCCTTGGCAGGTTTGTCCCTGGGCGACAAAGGCCACCTCGCTGCCCTGCCCTCCCTGGCCCCCTTACTTGGCAGACTGGAGAGGCAGGAGCCCAGTGCGCCTCAGCACAGGGCCTGTGCCCGCAATTCTGAGGGGTGTCCGCCCACTCATTCCCTCTCTCATTCTTTCCACGATGTGCCAGACGCCCGGATACCGTGGGGACACGGCAGTGGCCTATGCTGACTGGGTCCCAACCCCGTCACATGTGGAGCAGGGAGTGGTTGTGGCCAGGGCGCAGGGCCTGCAGTGCCACCCGCCTGCCGCTCAGGACCACGCCTTCTATCCTTGAGGCCTTAACGGTTGGGGAGTGCTCAGCGCAGGTGGCTGTCCGCCCTCTGGACTGTCCACAGGCCTGGTGGGCAGGGGGGACCCGTTGTTTTGTAGAGCTGTTTTTTTAGGGGGGAGGATGCAAAAGCCAAAGCCCTCCACACTCAGGGGCAGTCCCTGAGTCTTCAGGTAAGTTTTCTGGGTGCCGCAGATGACCCATGTGCCCTCACCCCAACCTGGGACAGGATGTGTACGAGACTCAGGGTGGAACCTTCCCCTGGCCCTCCTCCCCTCCCCCCAACCCCCATGGAGAACACAGGGCCCCCCCCCCCCCAACCCCCCCCCCCCCACACACACCTGGCCCTCAAGCTCTGCTGCTTCAGCCTCTCTTCTCCACTTCCCTCCCGGGGATTGGGGGTGCTGTAGTACCAGACGCCGCCCATACAGCTTCCAGGACAGAGGTTCCCCGTGTCAGCTCAGATCTGCAGGTGAGGTCAGCCCCCACAAGGGTACCAGGACCCTCGAGGCTCCCACCCTAGCAAGGGCTTCCCTGGTTGGAAAGGGCTCTGTGGCCAGACTTGGGCTGTTGTGTCTGGTGGGGCATGTCAGAGAAATGGTAATGCAGTGTGATGGACATCCTTAGGCCCATCCTGCCTGCAGTGGGTGGTGGGCATCAAGAACTGGACTCGCTGCTTCCTTCCCTGCCTTTTAGGCAGGAAATCAGAACACGGGGGAGATGCTGTGGGGTGTCAGAGGACCCCCCCTCCTCCATACGGAGATGGCCTGTACTGAGATGCAACCTGCTCTTCTGCTCCTCTCCTCACCACTGCCCAAGGCCATGGGCCAGGCTGGGCTCTGCACGGCCAAGGGGGAAAGGCCACAGTGCTGGCCATGGGCTGGTTGAGGGGCCTGACACAGGGACAGGTACATCCCACACACTTGCCTCCTTGGTGCTACTCATATGGCAGATTCCCGCTCATCCCCACGGGCACTATGCTGCTCCCCTGGCCTGGCAAACCCTGTGCCCCATTCCCTTCATGCCCAACTGACAGCCACAGAGCTCTATGTGCCCATGCTGGGGCTATGGGGGAATCACCCACAGGGAGTGGGGGAGCAGAGTAACACAGGCATCAGGGATATTAAGTGGAGACTCAAAGTGGTGTGGGTCTGGGGAAAGGTGCTTCTGGGAGAGGCATGCCAGCATGTGCAAAGGCCCCGAGGCAAGGGGAAGCAAAGTGGCCAGGTATCTGGAGGGGAGTGAGACAGGATGAGGGTGGTGGGAGATGAAGGCAGAAAGGAATGGGGCCCCAGATCCTGTAGAGCCCATGCGCTTTTCCTGGGTACAGTGGGAATCACTGGGGGTTTTGAACACCAGATCGATGGACATGGACTGACTTGTGCTTTTAAGGAAATTGGAGGCTGCTGCAAAAATCACCACACAGAGGATGTGGCTTGGACCAGTGGTAGCAACGGAGGTAGTGGGATGTGGTAGGAATCTGGAAATATGCTGAAGATGGAGCTGCCAGGATTTGCAGATGGAGGCGGGTAGGGTATAAGAGGGAAGGGAGGTTTTTGAGCTGAGCGAGGTCTGCTAGGATGAGAGATGTGTGTGGTGGGGGGTCAGGCTCAGCAGGAGTTCAGGGGAGCGACTTAGCTCAGACTGGTGTTTGGAGCCCTAAGTAGAAATGAGACGCTGGTGGGGGGGCGCATTTAAGAGTGAGACCAGGAGTTAGCAGCAGAGGGAGATGCAGGGGAGAGCAGGGGGAAAAGACAGAGAGCAGCGTCCCAGGGTAAGAGCTTCTAGGAGGGGCCAGACCACTGCCAAGGGTCAATCAAGAAAAAGTCTGAGAACTGACCACTGTATTCAAAACACAGGAGTTTGTGATGATAGCGCAGGTGTGTGTGAGGGGAGAGAGGATGCTCAAGAGAAACTAGGAGACAGAGCGGGGATGAGAGCTGCAGACTCCTGGCACTTTTGTGAAGAGGAGCAGGGAAAGGGACAGGTGTGAGGTGCAAAGCCTTTTGTTGTGTTTTACCAAGGGACAGATGACAGCGTCTTAAGTAGGTGAGAGGCGGGCTTTCAACAGGTTTCTCTGGGTCCATCTCTAGGGAGAATACGAGTCCCATGACCATGACCGTCCACGTGGTTCTCCAGGCTCACCCCAGGGCCTGGTTCCCAGGAGGCGCCAGGAAGCGTCTGGGGAATGAGAGTGTGAGGGGTACGGGAAGCCCTTCGGATTGTCCAGGTGAGGTGTGAAGGCTTGGCCAGGCCTGGAGGCCTGGGTCAGAGGTTGCCAGCTGGGTGGTGTGGGGAAGGGGAGGACGAGGGGAATGCAGACCTGAGTCTGGGCGCCTACCTGGTGCCCAGGTGAGGTCCTACAAACGCAGATTAGGGCCCTGTGGATGCAGCTAGGATGTGGCCCCTGAGGGCCGTGGAGAATGTTCAGACGCGGCTGTCAAGATCAAATGCCACAGTTATTAAGACCCACGGAGGTTGGGAATTCAGAAATGAAGGTCACGGGCGACGTGGGCAAATGCAGTGTCCTTGTCTAGGCCGAGGAATGAACTGGAACAGAGGGAACCCCCAGCTAGGGTAGACAAGACTTCCGTGCAATAGGATCCTGGATTCCGCAAGGAGAGGAGGGCAGCTGGGGCCGGGGAAACTAAGCTGAGCCGGATCGTCCGGGGACGTTGGAGGGGTTCTCTGCTCCCGCCCCTCAGGTCACCGGCGACCCTTTCCCACTGTCCCCTAGACCAGCGGCTCTCGGACTCGCGCTCACCTCCGAATTGCCCAGGGTTTGTTCGCACAGACTGCTGGAGTTTCGATTCCGTGAGTTTGGGCTGGGGCATTTCCGACAGGTTTCCGGGGCGCTGCAGCGCATGGACCCCACCTGGGAAGCGCGGTCCCGGGAGCCCACTTAGACCGAGGGGCCACCGCTCCCGGCCGACCGGGCACCGCCTCCGGTTGCCGGGCAGAGCGGGGCCGCTCGCGCCTCCATTGGCCGCAGGTGGGCCGCGCCCCGCCCGACAGGTAGTCCGCCCCGCGCGGAGCCATTGGGTCGCCGCCGCGGGGACCCCCGGGGATTGGCCCAGGTAGCGGCCCCGCCTCACCCTCATTGGCCGCAGGTGCCACCGCCCCCGCCCCGGGACCGCCCGTCCCGCCGATTGGCCGCCCGCTGGGCCTCGGGTCGGCCATGTTCGGACCACCCCCCCGCATCCCCCCCCCCCCCGCCGCCGAGCCTGACGCCGGGATTCCTTGCGCGCCCCTCGCGCCTCCCCGCTGGCCGTGCCCCCGTCCCACCCAGCCCGCCACCCAAGTTCCGCGGAGTTGGCCGGACCCACGCCCCTGGGTCCCGGCGCCGCGCGCGCCCTTCCGCGTTCCGCCGCCGGCCCCACCTGGCGCCCCGGCCGGCCGCTGGGTCCTTGCGCCATGGCCCGAACGCCCGGGGTGCGGCGCTGACGGCGGCCGGCGGAGCTAGCCATGCCCAGCAGGACCGGCCCCAAAATGGACGGGAGCGGCTGCCGCGTCCGCCTGAAGGCGCACTACAGCGGGTGAGCGCGTTGCGCCCGACGGCGGGGCCGGCGGGCCGCGGGCAGAGCCGGGCGCGGGGAGACGGCCCGGACCGCGCCTGCCGTCGGGGACCGTGTCGCTGCTACTGCGGCGCGGGAGGGAGGGGGCAGCGAGGCCCCTGCGGGCCCAGGGGCGCCCCGGGAGGTCCTGACGCGCCGTCGCCGTAGAGGCGGCCCGGGACGCGGCGGGTGCTCGAGGCGCCCTGGAACGTCACTCGCGGGAAAGCTCGCGGGGAAGGTGGGGTCTCCGGGTCGCCTGGCGCCGAGGCTCGGAGCGCTGCGGGTGCCGGCGGCCGCGCCGGTCCCTCCCCGCCCCGGCGAGGTTTCCCCCGGCTCGGACCCGCCCGGAGGCCGTTGCGGCTCGGGAGGCGGCCGTCGCCGCGCGCGCTCCACAGCCCTGGAAGCAGCATTGGCATGTTCCCTGCAAAGTTGGCTGGACGTTAAGGCCACAAACCTGTAAGGACTAAAGCTTTTGCCAAATGAAAACCGCGGGCAGAGTTTTAAAAAATCAGGTTTCCTAAACTTTTCCCAATTTACCCGGCCAGAGGTCTCCGTTTACGAAAAGTTTAACGACCCAGAGGAAGATTAGGTGCCGTGAGCAGCCCGCGGTTGCGCGAATTGGGGCGGGGTGGGGGTCCCTGGAAGTCTCCAGGCGCGGTTCTGTTGGGACCCGATCTTTCGGACTCTAACCAGCTCGCGTCCGCGCGCGGCGCCCTGGGCTCGACTTGCTCGCTGTAAAATGGGGCGAGCGGGCACCTCACAGGGGTCAGAGGCGGGGAGCGCCTGGCCCCACCCGGGGAGCACGCCGCACTTGGCTGTGGTGGGGCGGCGCCCCGAGGCGGGGATCCTGCCTCCGCCCCGAGCACCGGCGCTCGGGGGCGCTCGAGGGAGAGCTCAGCACCTCTGCTGCTGCTGCTTTACGTGGTGCATCCTCCAGGCCGAGGAGGGGCTTGGGGTTCTTGATTTCGCGAGGGCACCTTGTTTGGGGTCTCAGGTCGGAACGCCCTTGTCCCTTCTGCCATCCCCACCTGGGAGCGGGATATATGTGGGAGAGTTGGTGACAGGGCTCTAGGGAGGAATGGTTTCTGGGGGAAGGATGTCCAGCCCACCAGAAGAGGTCTTCTGGCCTGGAAGGGTGGTTTGCCTGTTAAAACTGGTTCTCAAACTCATCCGAGCGCCAGAACATCTTGGCTTGCTGGTCGGTGACTGTGGAAGGCCTGTCACCGTATCAGAAATAGTCCTCTTACCACCCAGGAACCGTGAGATTGAGCAATAAGTCACTTTGTGAACAATCCGAGTTGATCCTCAGTGAGAGGAAGTCCACACCCCCGCAGCCCAGGGTGGGTGGGAACTGGACCCCCCAGCCTGCCCGCAGGCTGGGTTCAAGTAGGCACCTTCAGGCACTGAGGGAGGGAGGGAGGCAGGCCAGCTGGGCCTTGGACGGCGTTGACCGGGGCCCTTGGGAGTCCTGGACTGAACCACTGCCGCCCCCGCCCCTGCCCCTTCCCGGCCTCTGGAGAGCGCTTTGGTTACCCCCGGCAATGTGACCTGTTGCGTCTAGCGCCCGGGGCTGCCGGGGCGCCCCTCCTCCAGTTCCTCCCATTCCCTACCTCCTCTCCTCCCTCTCTCTCCACCCCTTCCCCCTTCCTTTCCCTCCCCTCCTCTCCCACCCTTCCCCTCCCTCTTCCCCTCTTCCTCTTCCTCCGCCCACATTCTTCCTTTGTCCCTTTGTGGGACACCCCCCCTTGTCTGCCCCAGGCTGCACTGAGGTTCCTGCCCTACCCTAGCTGCTCACTCCCTCCCAATGCCTCTGCCCAGGTCCCTCTCCCGGGGGACTTGAAACCTCGCCCCTCCGACGTGGGAGGGGTAGGCCTCCGTGCAGTAAACCACCCACCAAGATCAGCACTCCTGTATCCAAACCTCGAGGGTCCAAGTGGAGTTCTGTCTCCAGAGGGGACGGTTGCTGCCGTGTCGCTGCTGGGAGGTGCTTTTGGGGCAACAGGGCTGCAGCTGAAGATCAGACCCATTCTGAAAAATAGGGGGCCCCCAGCTTGGCCTTTGGAGGATGTGCCGACACCAGGGTCTAGCAGGGTGTGAGCGGGGTCCAGCAGCACCTGTGTTTTGAGGGGATTTCCAGGTGATGCACACTGGAGTTAGAGACCCTGCTTTGCCAGGTTGAGTCTCAGGCGCCCACTTTTCTGAGCTCACAGGCACAACCACGCAGGGTCTTCCCTCTTTCCAGCTCAAGCCTGGGCTGCTGTTTGTACCCTCAGCTTTGGGGGGAGGTCTGATGAAGCCAGTAAGCTTAAGCTGAGCACACTGTGTCCAGCCCCCCTGCACCCCTCCTCTGTGACCTTCTGAATTTGAACCTGGCGTCTGAGCAAGTGCTCGCCCGGCTTCCACTCTCTGTGCCTTCTGATACCCCTGCCTCATTCTTTCCCCCCGCCCCCATTTAGGCACATCCAGGTGCAGGATAGATCTTTCTGTGCAAGGGCATTCATTGTAGTAATTAAAAAACAAGATTGTGGTCAGTGGTTCAATGGGGGGGGGGAGGGCTGTGATATTTTGTTTGAGAAAATTTTCATCGATGTAATCAGTAACTCAGTATTTAATTTTATTTAAATGTGGTCCTTGGTGAAACATGTCCACCCTCTTTGCCCCAGGGACATCCTGATCACCAGCCTAGATGCAGCCATGACCTTCGATGAGCTCTGTGAGGAAGTGAGAGAGATGTGCAGTCTCCGTCAGGGGCACCCGCTCACCCTCAAGTGGGTGGACAATGAAGGTAGAGCCCTTGGTCTTATGTCTGTCAGACTATAAATCTCTAGATCTTCCGTGTGTATGAAATTAGATCAGCCCCTCCCTGGGGAGATTGGAATTATGGAATTCCATAGTTAGGGAACTACGGAATTAAGGTAGTTAACAGCCATCTTCCCTGGTAGGGGTGCTGGGAATCACTTCCTGGAGAGGTTGGTTGAAAAAGAGGCTGGGTTGGGCGTGTGGGGAAGGGCACACTGGGAGGGGGCTGCAAGGGTCTCCCTGTCCCCCTGGGGCCAGCCCTTGCCCTCCCTCTCTGCTGTTCCTCTCTCCTGTTCTGGGCTTTCCCGTGGGTGATTTGGAAGGATAAGCTCTTTCTTACTTTCCTCTTCTCAGGGAGAGCTGGAGGGTAAGTAGCTAGGGCCCCATCGTGTCTTCCCCCTCCTGTTCTCTCCCCCCCTCAGTCAGACACACATCTGAGAGAGCTTGGGGGCTGGGGGTGCAGTCCAGCTGCCAGCCCAGGACACGGGGGAGCGGCAGAGTCGGCCCCCAGGGGCGTTGGTTCTGTGCGTTTCTATGTTCCCATCCAGAATGGGGGCAGGGAGCCTTTCTTTTCATTTAGGACTGACCTAAGAAGAATGTCCTTAATCTTGTCCAGGCCAGGAAAATCAGCATGGTGTGGCTCTGCCAGTGGACTTCTCGGGGCTCATTCTGGGGATCTGCCGGTTCTGATGGGGGCCCCTGGTCCTGCTAGCCGTTCTTGGGTCTCCCAACTCTGCAGTGGGCGGCTGGTCAAGAGCAGCCAGACTTTGCCCTTCCCAACCTGAGTTGCACCCCTTTGCCTCAGGCCTTTGGTGGCCTCAGCGATGTCTTTTGCCTAGGTGACCCCTGCACCGTGTCCTCCCAGATGGAGCTGGAGGAGGCCTTCCGCCTGGCCTGTCAGCGCAGGGACGAAGGGCTCATCATTCACGGTCAGTGGCAGCTGGAGGGATGGGGTGACCCCACTGTGGTCTGGGGAGATGGGAGCCCAGCATGGTTTCCAGACAGCCTAGGGGACTAGAAAACACAAGGAGGATTGTGGTTTAAAATCTCGGGATGCTGGAGAATTTAAGAATGTTGAATATAGCGCAATTTGGGTTTGTTTCTTCTCTTAACATCTTATTAACCCAAATAAAAATTGCTGTAGGTCGTAAAGAGTCAGAAAAGCTCCTTCTCACTGGAGACAGGGGCCTGGGTTCTGGTTGCTGGTCCTCATTGTCTCCGTTCCCTGGAGGCCGGGATCGCTGGGTGCATCAGAAGCCTGGGCTCTCTTACCGGCCTCCACTTTTTCAGAAGCTGAAAGGATCCCGGCCCAGAGCGTATGGGGGCAGGCGGAAGAGGAGACAATCCATAGTAGACTCAGGGTGGGCGAGACCCTCCCTGTGCCTGTCTCCTGGCCCACAGCTGTCTTCAGAGAAGCTCAGAGCTGCGTTACAGATTTGAGTGGTGGCAAATACGAATTGTTGTGATTTCAGTATAGCCTAAATTGGGGGTTTCAGGCTGCCCGCCAGCACTCTCGGGGTTCTGTAGGGTGTCTGAGCATGGTTCTGACCAGCCATGTCTGCATTCACTCCTGTGTAGCCTAGACTTTTGGCTGGGCCGGTGGGCAGGGACGGCGAGCCCAAGCCCAACACTGCTGGAACCGGAGCTCCCTGCCCACGGTGTTCTCTGGGACCATCATTCTCCCTGGTGTGGGGCTAGGAGTTGGTTGCAGGATCCAACTTCTGCAGCTCTGTATGTAAATGGGGTTTGCACTGAGAGCCCTCGCCCGGCCCACGTTCTTGATTGTGGTGCTGAGCCTCTCAACACTGACAGTGGGTGCTTTCAAAAGCCAGTGTTATTTTCTAGATAAGGAAGTGGTTGCTTCAGCTAAGTTTTAATACTTTTTAAGCTTCTGTTTTAATAAGCTGTGAGGGAAGCCCAGGGTATGTTTTAAGATATTTAATTTTGAACTCCACCTTGAGTGCAAAATGGAATCTAATGTGCTTTCAAAAGTCCATTTTGAAGTAGTGCAGCTCCTAACTTTCCTTATTAATTTACCACTGCGAGTCAGGAGGCTTCCTTGGGCAGCTCTGGTCTAGGGCCCCACACTGCTTTTCCCCTGGAATTTTTCAGTGCACTTTGAAGTCCTTTATTTATTTGACAGAGAGAGACACAGCGAGAGAGGGAACACAGGCAGGGGAAGTGGGAGAGGGAGAAGCAGGCTTCCTGCGGAGCAGGGAGCCCGATGCGGGGCTCGATCCCAGGACCCTGGGATCATGACCTGAGCTGAAGGCAGATGCTTAACGACTGAGCCACCCAGGCGCCCCCTTGAAGTCCTTTAAAAGGTGTTTTGGGCTTCCACGGTTTTGCCACAATGAGTGTCTCCTCAGAGCAGGTTGGCCAGCAACGTGGGCTTTGTGTGCAAGTCCGTCTGGTCAGCCTGACTCACGCTGGACCTTCCACAAGATGCACTGAGTGACAGACTGCTCTTTCTCTCTCTCTGTCCAGTGTTCCCCAGCATCCCCGAGCAGCCAGGCATGCCTTGTCCGGGAGAAGACAGTGAGTACTCCCATTTTCCTATGAGTCGTGTTGCACGTTGCGGCTTGAATTTCTTGATCCATTATGTCAGGACGGTGCAGACGGGTGCCTTTTGTGGCCCACGGCTTAGGAACATTTATCTTTGCAAAGCGACCGAAGGCAGAGTGAGCGGTTGATGCGCCCTGTAGCGGGGTTTTCACGGGCGCACCTGCCTTTGCCTGTGTGTGTGTTCTGGCCGACAAGTGCTACCGTCAGGACACTGGCTTGGTCTGTTAGTGCCATAATGAAAAGTGCAGGAAATGCCCTCATCTCCCCGAGCAGGGAGGGGCCCGGGCTGGGACAGCTGGATGCTGCTCCCAGGCATCTGCCCCAGCTACCCCCAGACCTGGTCATTTCTCCTCTCCCCAGCCCATACCAGCCCCCAGAGATGTGGTGGGAACATCCTTTTCATCTCCACGTGGGTCTGTTGATACGGGAGGAAGTCCCGGGAGCAGTGGGTCCAGAACAGAGCTTCTGACCTTGTCCTGGGGACCGTCGGACCCCAAGCAGGTCAGAGCCGTTTTGCCCGCTCTGTCCTTAAGGGAAGAGCACCCATGTGGGGCATAAATTATTCACCAACCACCCAGACCCTCCTCTGGCCTGGTGCTGTGGCGTCTCTTATCACGTGAGCAAGGACCTCGGGACCAAAGGTAGCTGTTGTTTGGTCTCAGGGACCTGGCTCAGCCCGGAGCAGATTCGGGCAGAGGCCATGCGGAGCTTGTTGTTCACTGGGCCCCGGGGGAGATGGTAAGTGGGCAGTCGTGTGCATCAGTCTTGGGTTTAGAAAAGCAGTGGGGCTGAAGATAGATTTGGGCGCCCTTAGCATAGAGGAAAGAGTGGCTGGGATTGGGGTCTGGCCTTGGGGCTCCCAAAGAGAGTAGGGGACCCCAAGGGAGCATCCAGCAAGGCCGTGGGGCCACATGGACCACGGAATCCTGGCCACAGTGGAGTGGTGGTCTGGTGAGGCCAGAACGGCCCAGGCCTGGCTGGGTCTGTGGCCACGGCCAGCCGATGTGGGGGGTGGACGCGAGGGGCGGTTTCGGGGAGAGTGTAAGGAGGCGCAGGGACACATTCCTTCCTTAGTCCTGCTTTCCTGCTTGTGCCTCTGCAGGGGGCGGTGCACAGGCTGGGTGGGGGGCCACGGGAGCCCCAGGACGTCCTAGCTGGAAGGCAGATGACAGGCCAGATAAACACGCAAATGCTCCCTGTCAGACAGTGATCAATGTAGCCGGGGGCAGGGGAGGGTGTGAGGGGTGGGAATGGCGGGGCCTGGGAGGGGGCTGCAGCTTGAGAGTTGGAGGCTGGGAGGCTGCACTGAGAAGGTGTCCCGTGGGAAAGAACGTTCTAGCAGTGGCCCCTCCGGGGAAGTGGAGGCCAGCCAGGCCCTCCTGGGCCAGGGCAGTGGACACTGGTGTGCTTGTATGGCTTTGCTGAGTGAGGGACTTGGGAGCTGCTGGGCTGTGGGTCCAGAGAGGTTTGTGAGATGGGACATGCAGTGGACGCCAGGAGGGCCTGGGGGCCACGAGGGGCAGACGTGGTGATGCAGAACGGCCTGCAGGGGCCCCTGGCAGCCATGGAGGAGCCTTCGAGGGGAGCCAGCCTGGACTCCCCACCACGGCTGGCCGCAGTACAGGACGGGGGCGCGAGGTCCCTGCCACAGGTGGCAGTGGGAGTGGCCGGGAAGCGACTGCGTCACTGGGGGGGAATGTAGAAAATGTGAACTTCAAGAAAGCACTGTCCTGGGCCCGCCAGCCGGTCCTCGAGATGCTTACCAGGGGCGGCTCTCAGGCTTTGGTGACCACTTGAGCTCTGTTGATCATTCCACCAGCCCTGGGAGGCGGCCGAGTCTCAGGGAGTGGCTGAGGGCGTCTGTCCCTGCTCCTGGATCCCTGCTCCACACGTCCACACCCGAGCACCAGGCGCACAGAACGGCCTCACCTCGCGGCCAGGGCCTACCTCGGGGATCCTGGACTCCTGGGCTCTTTGAGTGTAGGTGTTCTCCCCAGTACTTTACTCTTTTGGCTTGATTTTAACGCTAATCTTGGATGATCAGGACAAGTCTGTTCTGGTCACTGATGGCCACGGTGGACAGGTGTGCTGTGTGGTTTTGGTGCCTGTGTGGGCATTCATGTTCAGTTTTTTGGCCTCGAGCAGCATGCCTAATGCCAGGGGAGCGAGAAGGGTCAGACAGTGCCACGTGAATGGCACCCTTGAGCTGTGTCAGGACCCCGTGAAGAGGGCTGGATAGACCCAGTCGGCTGACTGTGACCAGAGATGGACAGGCGGCAGAAATGGAAATGGGGTCCCATGGTGGCACCTGGGAACATCCAGCAGGCCACCTCGCACCATCTGGGCCTGAGTCCACTTTCCCCTAACCACCTTCCAGCACCTTCTATCCAGGTTGTGAATCTGGATTTAATCGGTTCTATAGACCGATTGTGTAAAGTGGGGCACCTGGGTAGCTCAGTCGGTTGAGCGTCCGACTCTGGATTTCGGCTTAGATCATGATTTCGGGGTCTTGGGATCAAGCCCCGAGACAGGCTCTGTGCTCAGCGAAGTGTCTGCTTGGGATTCTCCCTCTGCCCCTCCCCCATGTGCATGTGCATGCGTGCACACTCTTGCACGCATGTTCTCCCTCCCTCTCTGGAATAAGTACATCTTTAAAAAATTGTGTAAAGTACATGTAACATAAAGTGTACTATTTTAACCACTGTAAAGTGAATGATTCTGTGGCATTTAGTACACTCCGTGCTGTTGCAACCACCACCTCTACCTACTTCTGGAACCTGTCTGGAAGGAAAACCTCACACCCATCAGGGGCCACTCCCCATTCATCCTCCACCCAGCCCCCAACAGTCTCTTGAGGATTTACCTGGTTTGGACTTCCTATAAAGGAATCATATGGTTTGTGGAATTTTGTAACTGGGTTATTTTACTTAGCATGATGTTTTCGAAGTTCATGCCTGTGCTAGCATGTGTCACAATGACATTCCTCTCTTTTCCCAATTTTTTACTGTGGTAAATTACATATAACATAAAACTTACCATCTTGACCATTTTTAAGTGTGCAGTTCATTGATATGAATTACATTCGCATTGTTGTGCAAACATCACTACCATCCACCTCCAGAGCTTTTCTCATCTACAACATTGCAGCTCTGTCCCCATTAAACCCTAACCCCCAACCCCTGGCTCCCACCTTCTGTTCCGTGATTTTGACTACATTTGGTTTATCCATTCATCCATAGAAGGACACTTGGGTTGCTTCCCTGCTTTAGCTCTTGGGAGTCATGCTGCCGTGAATGTGGGTGTGCAGATATCTCTTCGAGACCCTGCTTTCGACTTTTGGGGGGGTATATACTCACAAGCGGAACTGCTGTATCGTACGGTCATTCTATGTTTAACTTTTTGAGGAACCTCCACACTGTCTCCCATACTGGCTGCACCAGTTTGCGTTCCTACCAGCAGTGCATGGGGTCCCTATTTCCCCACATCCTCATCTACGCTTGTGGTTTTCCTGCCACCCCTGTGGGTGTGAGGTGGTCTCTCATTGTAATGCTGATTTGAATCTCCCTGATGGTGAGTGATGTTGAGCATCTTTTCTTGTGTTTATTGGCTATCTGTATGTCTTGGAGAAATGTCTGTTCAAGTCCTTTGCCCATTTTTGAGTTGGGTTGTTAATTTTTTTGTTGCTGGGTTTTGGGAGTTCTTTTTCTATTCTGGGTTTCAATCCCTTATCAGCTATATGATTTGCAAATATTTTCTCCCATCCTGTGGGTTGCTGTTTAACCCTGTGGATTGTGTCTCTTGATGCACAGAATTTTTAAATTTTCATGAAGTCCAATTTGTGTGTTTTTGCTTTTGGTGCCTGTGGTGTCACATCCAGGAAATCATTGTCAAATACAATGTGGTCAAGTTTTATCCTGTATTTTCTTTTAAGAGTTTTATAATTTTAGGCCTTACATTTAGGTTTTTGATGCATTTTGGGTTAATTTTTTTATATGGTGTGAGGTAGGGGTCCAACTTCATTCTTTTGCGCGTGGTTATCTGGTTTTCCCAGCACTGTTTGTTGAAAAGACCAACCTTTCCCCATTGAATAATCTTAGTGCCCTTGCCAAGAATCATCAGACACCATGAGAGGGTTGGTTTCTGGGCTCTGTTCTCTTGGGCTTCCTATGTCTGTTTTTATGCCAGTATCACATTTTTTTGGTTACTGTGGTAAGTTTTGAAATCAGGGAGTGTGAAGCCTCCAGCTTTGTTCTTTTTCAAGATGATTTGGCTATTCTGGGTCCCTTGAGATGATTTTTAGGATGGGTATTTCTATTTCTGCAAAACATGTCTTCATAGGGATTGCTTGGAATTTGTAGGTTGGTTTGGGTGGTATTAACACAATGATAGCATTCAACCTTCTAACCCATACACATGGGATGTCTTACTTTCATCACATTTAATTTCTTTCAGCACTGTTTTGTAGTTTTCAGTGTGCAAGTCTCTCACCTCCTTGGTAGGCTTATTCTTAAGTATTTTATTCTTGATGCTATTGTAAAATGGAACTGTTTTCTTAATTTCTTTTTTGGAATTGTTCATTGCTCGGGCATAAAAATGCAACTGAGTTTGTGTGTTGGCTTTGCATCTTATTTTACTTAACTTGTTTATTAGTTCTGACAATTTTTTTGTGGCATCGTTAGGGTTTTCTGTGTCATCTGCAAACAGAGGTCATTTTACTTATCCCTTTCCAATTTATGTGCTCTTATTTTTTTTTTGTCTTGTCTAATTGCTTCTGCTAGAACTTCCACTACTGTGTTGAATAGAAGAGTGGGCATCCTTGTCTTGTTCCTGATCTTGGAGGAAAAGCTTTCAGTCTTTCACCACTTAGTGAGATGTTTGCTGGGGGATTTTCACATGTGGCTTTTACTCTGTTGAGATAGTTTTCATCTGTGCTATAATGAGGCATGTATATGGTCTTCGTCCCTGGTTTCTGG